TGTCTAATTTTAATAAAATAACAATGGACAACAGAAGATATCATAAAATAGCAAATATAATGAAGCATCTTGAGCTTAAAGAAGCTGTTCGCAGATGCTTTAAAGGCGATGAAAATATTTGTGTTAATCTTCTGGTAAATAACGGACCGAATAACGTTCTACTAACCGAATCGGAAGAACAATTATAACAAATATATGTTATATAAATATATGATAGAGAAGCTATAATGTTATGGTGTTATAGCTGTATTAGTCAAGAAAAGCTTGCGAAAATATTACAAAAAGTTCATTTATCATAGTTTCGGAAGACGATCCTGTCAAATATTGATTGTGAGGTAATAGATTTATACTTACCGTCTGCAAAAAAAACTGAGCTACTCGATAATTAATGCTAAAGTATCTTGCTGAAGTTAATATAGAAGAAAGTTTCTTTGCCTCGACTATTTAAAAATTATATGAAACAGCTGGTTTTATCAGATATCTAAAATTAATACCATGATCTCGTCCTCGTTATGAATTTTCTTGTTATGTAACTAACTTCATGTACCCAAAGCAATTGTCAAATTTAATGCGGTTAAAACGATCTATTACTAAACCATCATAAATAGGTCAATTAAATGCTTCGTAAACAAACCTGTACTATAAATGATTAATTAAATCTGATTTGGTCCTCTTACAGTTATCATAAGATTCTCGCTATTTTGTAAATTACCCAATACCTTTTTTTTCCTACTTCAAATAATTCGATATTAGTTCGTCTCGTGAAGATCATATATAGGATGCGGTTAAAATTTGTCTTGCAATGATAAATTCACAGTAATCTGACAAATAAAATGTTATCTAACAAAATGAAATAATCTCAAATAGCTGCTTTGCCAAAGGGTGTGGTCAGGGTTGGTTCAACAAATGCGTCCTTTTAATATTTTTATAGAAAAGTGGGGTCTGTGGATCAGACAAAACTAGGGTCTCTGGATTAGAGAAATAGGGTATCTGAGCCAGAACTCTCAATATTACTTGCTTCTGTATTTCATATTTATATTTATTTCTGTATTTTATATTTATATTTAACTTATATTAAAATATTTTATTTATTGTTCATTATATTTTTTCATGATCGCAAACTGTATAGAATATTTTATGTGTTAAAAGTTGTGTGCATAAATTGACTCCATTAAAATCTCAAAATTCTTAATATATATATATATATATATATATATATATATATATATATATATATATATATATATATATATATATATATATATATATATATATATATATATATATATATATATATATATATATATATAACCAGTTCATTTCCGGTATTGAAAATTTTTTGGGACTTTTCATTCGTTTAGGACTTTCATAAAACTTCATCAACACCTAATTTAGAATAGATTCATTGTACTGTTAATTACGCTCATATTTCTCATTTATTACTTTAATAATTAAATTGTAAGTTATACAACACTTGTAGGTTTTGCTTCTTTCCTGTTACTTAAGGTTGTGTGCATAAAGATATAACAGAAGGTATTATGTCCACGATAAAACAATTAATTTCAATAACTGAGATAGCACCGTTGAACTCAGAAGCATGACTATACAGTTGAGTAAATGGTTATATTTATCTCTAAGGGTAATTAACGCAATCTCAAATGTTTTACGAGAGATCATCATCATCATCATCATCATCATCATCATCATCATCATCATCATCATCATCATCTAGGTCACAAACTAAATAGTTAACATAAACTCCATTGTAGTTTTCAACACATTACATTTTCAAAAATGAGGCAGTTAATATATGAAGCTTACATGTTAATAATTTGACTTTTTTTCAGGCAAGGCAGGAAAATTTAACTTTATATTTACAGCAGTAGTCATTAGTCAATATAGATATCACCGCACAGTCCAGTACTATAAAATCGACTATCTGTTCCGTCCTAGAAATAATCTGGCCTGAAAATCTACGAGACAGTTCCACAAGACACGATGATGCTAATTTTGATTATTCTAAATGTCGTTGGTATCACATATGGAAGGCTCTATTACAGGGACGCGATCCCAAATGGACATAGTGTGACGAATATGTGTTACGGCATTATTGGGGGGTCCAATATGGGCAGCTGTCGGTCATTATGATCCAGAACATCATACCCACTCTAAAAATCCGTTCGCACATGTTATGTCGTCCAGTGATATTGAAATGTCGTTGTGACGTGTCAAGAACTGAATGAATGTTTGACTCTCATCCACAATTCGTGTTGGATTATTATCATATCCATAAATCGTTCTAGATATAGCAATCTTGTAAACATTTTAGTAACAACTGTAACGGTATGTAGCTAGGTTACTTTGTTTATTGTATGATTGCATTGAGACGTTTTCTACATGTACTTGTAAGGCTGGTTTTCATGTTCAGTAAACATTTTGCAATCTACCAATAAAACGTGTTGGATAAGAGTTACAAATGAAAATTTAGTTGTGCTATTTTCTGTTATTATGTTATTGCTTAGGTAGTTCTTCTGACACAATAGATTTCAAGCACTTTTTCCAATGAGTCAGGAATTGGTGACGCAGTTAGTTTGATAGACACATAAAACCCAACCTTCCTTGTCTTGTTGTATATTAATCCCAAATGTTTCGCTATTAGTAAATAGTATGCAAATGTTGTTAACGTACATATCGGAAGCCAGAAAGATCTATTGATAATCCTAATGTTTCCCATAATGTATGCCTATCAAATTAAAGGTGTACGTTTATGTACACAGCTTGCCTCCTTTCATTCACATGCAAGAAATATTGACTACACATTCTGGGATTGAATTATTGCACTTAGATGAAACAAATTGATAAAGAATACGTAAAAGTCTAAAATAACAGTTTAGAAAAAATTGGAAAGCGCTATTTCTAATACCACTAGGACTATATTGAAACCACACAGAAATATTCAACGACGGAATGTGTGTGTGTGTATGTGTGTGTATGTGTGTGTGTGTGTGTGTGTGTGTGTGTGTGTGTGTGTGTGTAAGGGGCACTCTCAAAATCAGATTGAATGTATGGTATTCCATGGTCGAGTTTAAGGATGAAATTATTGCAGTGTTACATTGAAACGAAATTTATGAAAATAAAATGTGCAATATTTTCCACATTATTTTGCATTGCACGAACAAAAGGGATTATAATTACTGTACTATAAATAATCAGCTTCAAGAATATATTTACAAGGAAAAGGAAACAAAAACGCAATTCACGTACTTGTGCGGTAATTTCAGAAGTACATGCAGAAAGTGAAGTGAAGTAGCTGTTTAGACTATTTTGATTATGTTAAGATCTGGCAGCAACCGCTGATAGGTCATATTCTGGTGACCTCTGTTGTTACTATAATTGTTAATTTTATCAGATGAAGTTTTATATCTTCGAGTTTGGGAGACTTGCCAGTATGGCTGAAGAGCATCAATGTGTGCCGAACAATTTGTATTCACTTTTTATGATTTCTAAAAGCTGCAGTCTCATTCGGTTATTCATAGGTAAACATAACATAACCTCTAATCGGTCGCAACAAATCTTCACGTAGGGTATTGGAGATCTGATTATAATCAGTTTACTCTTTGGACAAGCTGGTAGCATTATTCAAATCTATATCGTAACCTACATAATCAAACCGGTAACTATGATTTGACCGGTGGTTGTATCAATCACGTGGTTAAGCATATTCATCGAATAGTCAAGTCTGTAGAATCCATTAGTTTTGAATAATTGGTGACTAATTTTGTTGTTTTTTATTGGTGATTGATCATTTTGCATTTTGTAATACTATTTAGACCAATTACTCTTGCTACCCATCATTTAAATGTGATCCTGAATATGTTGACGTGGCATTCACCTTGAAAATTTTGTTTGAATACAATGAACCGTTTATAATGGCGTGAATTCAAAGTCCATAGTTTCCATTATCGGTTATTGGAATATAAGAAACTGGATACCAGTTACCTTTGTCCATTATATCTGAAACTGGATACCAGTTACCTTTGTCCATTAAGGTCTGGAAGAATATTTTTATTCTGTCTCAGATATTTTATTTTTATGTTCTTTTGTGTGATGCATGGAGCTCACATCTTATTTGTTTGGTATTCTTATGATGATTTTTAAAAAATTATAATTATCAATTTCTTTCCTTTCATAATCTGATAAAATTAATGTGTAAACAAACATCGGTAGATGATTGGAACTTCCTATTCAGTTCATATGTTAAGATGAGTGAGAAAATAGAATTGATTTAATTTAAATTATTGTAATTTTATGCTCAGTTCTCCAAATTTGTTTTGAGGTTATTCTGGTAAGAGGCAAAAATGAAAGAAGCAAAAAATATTATGAATATGTATTTCTTAGAAGTAATCATAATCATGAAGTAGCAGTGTTATGAAAACGGATTGGTATACGGAAGCACATTTATTCTATGCTATTCAGCAAATTAAACAAAAGATATCCGATTATAATGATGAGAGAACAATTTGTTCATATATATATATATATATATATAACCATGCGTGTGTGTGTGTGTCCGTGCTTGTGTGTGTGTGTGTGTGTGTTCAATAGTGATATGTCGAACACTTAACCGATTTGCCTTTTCTTCATTTATTTCTTTCAGGAATCTGTGAACCACTAGGATCCCCGGTTTGCTCTTACCATAGATTCTTCTGTGGATGTCATGACCACGCATGTGTTGTGTGATCATAGTTTATATTTACTGACCATGGATGTATTACTACATGATAGCACAATCAGTGACATGTACTAGTGGGGTGGGATTTAAATATAAAAAGCTTGTAGTAATTCACATCAATCTCTTTAGACGAAATATATCTTGAAACATAAACACTTGTTGTAACATGTTGTTGACTTTCCAATGAAAGTATTCTACTCTAAACTTTCACGCAAATAGAACATCAGTGAAACAATTTTCTTTGAGGAGTGTTACAACGTAGTTTACCGCTCCGGTGGCCTAGTGGTTAGTGCGTTTGCCTTGGATGCGGTAGGTCGTGGGTTCGTTCGCCGGCCGAATCATACCATAGACTTACAAAAATGGTACTAACAGCTAACTCGCTTGGCGCTTAGCATTAAGAGGTTAGTGTTAGGACTGGTCAGCATAGTGTCAGGATAATGTGACTGGGTGGGACATCATGCTATATATCTGCGGCATGATTCCCCAGTGCTAAATACCACTATAAAGTACCACACTACCGACATCGTAGCGATATGACTGAAAAATTGTTAAAGCTACGTTAAAAATCCAAATCACATCACATCACATCACAACGTAGTTTATCGTTCATTACCACGACTGTGTGATTATAATACATGTTAACAATAAAATTACTTTTATCTATCTATAATTTATAAACTGGGATAACATCTGTCACGAACTATATGGTTGGGGTGGTGTGCTCACCCAGGCTTTATTTTGTTGGAAGTTAAATTTAGTGAATGATAGATGTTAAACTCAGAGCCCCGAGTCAGCAATTGAACGATTAGACGGCTAAATATACAAAAAGTTGAACTTCAATGAAAAACAATTTCATAACAATTCAATAATCAAATGACTCAAATTTCCAGTTACACACATTCCGCTTGACTCTTCAATAATTCTGTTGCATCTAATGATTAGCAGTGTCATATTCATTTCCACCTGTCGGTGTAATTCTACTTATCTGTTGCATCCTTTTTCTCTCTTATTTCTCCAATTCCTTCTCCTTCTCTTCCTCCCCGACCTCTGTCTAAATTTCATTCTCATTCGACTTTCTCTAGTCTCCGACTCCTCCTTGTTCATTTCTTCGCACTGCTACAATCATGACGACATCGACTGTCTAGGCTACAGTCTCAACTCCGTCTCCAACTCGTGAAGTCTTAGTACTTACAAGGACATTTAAATCTTTTTCCGTAGATCTCTTATCTCATACTACACTCAGCTGATCATCAGATAAGGGCTATTAAATTTCCTTTATCGCGCATTCGTTTACATCGATATACTTATAATTTCTTGTATGGTAAAACAATAATACAACACTGTATCAATTACTTCTATACATACATCAATATATTCCGTCAAATCAGTATATATTCCTAATATCGTTATACTAAACAATATCACGATAGTCAGACGCATTTCATTACCTTAACCTTACCTTATAACTCATACAGCGCTCGTACAAAATACGCAAATATTCAAATATCCATGCTCTGATATATGCAGCACACGTCCATAGTAACTAATCTTACATAGTTTAACCATGTTTCCAAATTTAGAAATCATTCATGGGTAAATTCTGCCATAATACATTAAAATATACACTGGTTTAGTACGAAGTTATCTAATAGCGAATTGCAAAATTAATTTTGACAACGTGGAGACGAATAAGTACACGCACCGTTCACACTGTGGACTTTCCTTTTGATCCTTGAACTAACATTTAAAATATAAGTGTGATAACGGCATGCTTTATTAACTGACACGACCGGTTGCTTTTGCCGACTCAAGTTTCCGGTCTCTGGCTCATCATGAGTAATAGTTCAACACTAATCCCTCGAAAATATTTTGAGATCAAACACAAGCCTGCACATATTCCACATATTCCCAAGACGGTTAGGTTATAGCTTATACATTACTTTAGGTGGTTTCTTAGCAAAGGTGACAACAACATATCAAATTATTCGAGTCGCGTTCGATGTGTTTTTTTCTTCAAATACAAATATATTTGCGTAAATTTCCATTTCTAATATGCCACATATGCTAACTGCTTCGATAGGTTCTGCAATTGTTCCTTTATAGTCTTGATTTAGGAGATTTCATCATCCCACAACACCCCTTTTAGCCAATGGCGTCCACCCACTACTCTCTACAACATTGTGTACTGAAGGGGATTACCGATCTAACAAAGACGATCTAACACACAGTCGTAAAATAATGAATCACGCATATAAAGGAACAATTGGTGCATCTCTATTAAGTCATGTATAGATGTGTTCATCTGACTGAATACTTAAAAATACAACGATATTTTATGTATATCAAATGGAATTTAATTTCTGGAGTCACGTGATAAGCTTTCAAGCATTTGGTGTAAAAGAGTCACACAGGTTTTATATACAAACATTACCAGGAGAGGGAGAGTGGATGGTTCGTTCCAGTACCAACATTTTAATTTTCCGATCATCTTGACACGTACAGAAAAATACGAGTACCAAAACAGGCGGTTAAACAGCCTAGGTGCATGATGGAGAGGCAATTTTAATTAGCCGTGGGGAATCTCTTTATGATGTAATCACGATTTCCAGATCTATACGGCAAATTCCTCACTCAGCTAGCTGCTCTAGATCTTTTAGCACGTGCGCCTGAATATGAGACAATGAAATTGGACCTGATTCCCAACTCTGATAGTTAGACTTTGTATCGCATCCTATTACACTAGAAAGGATCATTTTCATGCCTACTTGTGGCAGAACTGTTACAGTGCTAAAACGTTTACAAAAAAGACACCAAGACCTGTTCCAAAGGCAAGGCAGTGCAAGACACCGAAACTTATGCTAACGCACACTATATCGTTGATTACACTCAATCAAATCGAAAACCTCGGAAGTGAACACATGGTAGAACTGGATTTCTTTTTAATACCCGAAACAGATCCGTACAGTCTGCTAGTTCGCGCACGCTGTAGATAGTTCAAGCGAGTCGTGTGTAACTGTGGCTTAGCAGATGCTTCAACTATTTCTATCTCGCTCTTGTCTTGATAAATTGTCCGCAGACATAGCAAATTGCGTCTGCCAGATGCTTGCAGCCTCTTGATGCCATCTCAGATACATACAGATATGTATGCACTTAGGCAGACGGAACTAAACTAAACAGGCGGGCTTAAGGTCCCTGCAATTATATTACTATTTATATTACTGGAAAGTTCTAAAATTGTTCTAGAAGTTACTCCAAGTTTATTCAGCACTGAATCTGTCTGTCCGGAAAATAGGTAAATTTCAAAATATCACTGTCCTGGTCACAAAGGAAGTTTGTGGGGAATAATAGCCATTATCTATTATACCTTTGAGGCATACGCAATTAGAAAAAAAACCCACTTAATACCAAAGACAAATTGTTTTTATACGGTTGAATCTGAAATATGTAGGAATGAGTATTCAACCTCTCTCTATTTATGGCCCCGACTTCATCTATCAGTCTACCTATCTGTTCGTCTATCTGTATGTTCCTCCTTATTTGCAGTTAAAAGTTGTTTATCTTTTGATGGATAATCAATGACTACTTGTGCATGCATCAAACCTTTTATAATACAATAATATATTTCATAACATTCTTCCGCTTTTGCAAATTTTGATGCATTTTTTTCTTTTTGCTTTTCGAATTCGCGTCTCATACCACCAATAGATCTTAAAACTATTGTTACGTATAATTTATCGCAAATTATAAGCATGACTGCCATGACAGACAATCGTGATTAAGCAAGGTCGTTAGGGGCATAGTCTTTGAAGAATGACCCAGACAATCCCATAATTCCAAACTTGTTGAGATAGAACAGATATCTGTACTTGGTAACATGTTTTTGGAACGGCACAATTGTATTATTCCAGCCACAACATTGTTTGATTTTAAAACTAATATTCGTAGACACAATAAATTACAATTTATAAGATCCTAATTTATTTTGGGAACATTCATGTGCAGTATATTTTCTAACTTAAGTTTGAGAATAATTTTTTTTAACGATAAACATATTTCAGAAAAATAGTTTTTTGTGTCTATTCATAGCAGTAAATTATATCTCACTCCATGTGTGATAGTATTTTTAAATGTATAAAAGTATAGTATATGTATGTATGTGTGTGTGTGGGGGTGGGGGGGGCAAGTGTGGAAGAATTAAACTATACCGTCACATATATACTAAGGGGATGCATATGACCTGGATGATGATAAACCCGCTTGGTTTGTAAAAAGGTGAGTTTTGAATTTTAAAAGCGATTCTCTTTCAAAAATTAGATGTTACTCGACATTGCTTCACTCCATTACTTTTCATCCCATCCTTACAAGTCACCAGAAGTGAACGTTGGTCAGTTCAGAATGGTACTAGTCATTAAGACTGTGTGCGTCAGTACAAGCGCATGTTGGTCACCAAGCGTGGATGTTATTAAGAACTTGCAGAATTGGGCCAGTAAGATTCTGTTAGTAGGTGTAGCACTATGCATTTGTCAGTAGATCTGAGTCATTGTCTGTAGCTGTTAGGTGTTGGTCAATATTTATGGGTGCTTGTGATTAACATGCCATGTTCTCTTGCCCACCATAGTGACCTATCTGCTAGGTTAAATTCTCCTTTTCCATTATAGACAAAATAATGTTCAACCTATGGGAAAGTTCAACATTAAATACATCAGTGTCCTATTCCAAAGATTGCGGTTGAGTCGACTTTTCGATGAACTACTAATGCGTCATGCAGTCCATCCTGTTAATTCCATAGCTACTACAGAATAAGTCATAACTGATATTTTAGTTAGGAATAGCGAAGAAAAAGAAACATGTGTTATATGTAGTTGCTGAGTCTATGCTCACACTCAAGGATACAGTGCCGGGACAAGAAAGGTAAAATGTATAAAATCGGTGCGTTATCACGTTGTATTACGAAGATGTAGTGAATTTGGGTAGAAGTTAAAAGCCAAACAAATTTGAAGAAAAACTGGAACCAAATGCATTCCCGTCTTCGGGGTCAACACCATGGATCCTAGCTCTAATGAATACCAATAGCTGTCAATATCTGTCGTTCAGACAACCTCGGGTATTTACATCAGAATTTACAGAAAATTTGCTGCTGCATCCATTTTTTTCATTCGAAAGTCTTGGTCAATCTAACGGTCAATCCAATCGTATAAAATAGCAGAGCTGGTCAAAATATATTGTGGTTTCATGCTTAGAGAAAAGTTAGAGGCCAAGAAAATGTATGAATTTTCTGAATAATGCTGCATGATCTATGTTCGTCTGATATATACCGTTGCCTCTCAAAAAGTCGAAGTCC